GATTTAGACCAAGGAAGTTTTGTTTCAACCGCTCTTACCCCCAAGCCTTCACTGCTCACTACCCTCAAATTTGTCTCCGCAAAGCATAATTCTAGGGGCTGGGGATTTAGCTCAGTGGTTCCGGCGCCTGCCTCTCAAAGCATAATTCTAGTCACATCTCTTCCCCTCCCTAGAGTCTTTCTTCAAAGGCTCCATGTTACACCACCACCATCAAATCTCTAAGCCATGGAACTCAAGATCCTGCACAGTCTATCAGTGTACTCTTATTGTTGCCTTAGCTGAACCTCGGTGCTGTCTCACTTCTTTGATTCACACAGTCCAGCTAATCAGGATACCTTCAGCCTTATCTCCAGCTGTCTAAATCCTTGCCACCCTTCTGGGCTGCCCCCACCTTGAACATTTCTGGATAAACACTGTCATGCGTGATATGTCTATCACTCACCTTTCTAGAATTCTCTGTATGTGACTCTTAAAGGTGTTAGCACATCCTCATTTGCATCTTATGATTAGTATACACATACATTTCCCCTATTAGATTGAAATCTCTTTGTAAGCAGGGAGCAGATCTTATTTTTTTCCTTCAGAGCTTTACATATAGGGCCTCTTACAGAACACACATATAAGGAGTAAGTTTAGCATATAATTTGTTGATTGACTGGCTGAATGAATACATTTTTGTTCTTTTGTTGTTCTTTAATTCATTCATTTATCTTCTGAAGTAACATCTCGAAACCAGGTTTGGCTCACATACAAAATATCCCACAGTGTTCTTGGTATGGGCCATTGCTCTCGCTCAGAATATTTCTTAGCCTTTTTTATATATATATTAAAGGGTGAAATGGAAGGTTAAGAGTTAGAAGCATATTTGATCTTTGTCTGACCCTCCCCTGACTTTCGTGTGACTTCAAGCATGTCACTTGAACCTCTCAGTGACCCCAGCTGTGAAACTGGCTGCCTGGTGTCACAGAAGGATTGTAAGGAGCAGCAAATCACAGTCCTTGTCCATGCAGAATCACCTGCAGGCTCTGATGCCTGCATGGGATGAGGAGGGGAATCTAATTTCCCAAGCCAAGTAGTCAGTGGGACCCACACTTTGAATGCCTTTGGGAATGATTAAATGAGAGTCCTGGAAAATCTGTTACTTTTCTATTCCTACTCAAAATTTCTCTTAATTTTTATGTATTTTTAAGTGTTCTTGGTTTTTAGGCAGAAAAGCGTGTTGTACTGTTCGCCGTTTTAGACTTAAGTGGTGAGGAGGTATCATTTCAGGTATTTTAAAAAGAAACTTGAGTTTTTGGAAAAATAAAAGTACCTTGAATTTTTATTTTATACCATAGAATTTAGAAAATTTTCTGCCTCAAAGAGAATATTTTGAAAATGCGAATCACATTTTAAAGATAACTATTTGATAATGACCTGTGTAACACATGAAACATGTTTCTAAGTAGCTGTTTGTTTGTTGCTTATTTGTTTGGTGTAGGTAGGCAAGACAGTTGCAAATAAGTAGAGCAGAAAACAAATTTAAAAAACTGTTAGCTATCATGCAGACAGAACCTTTTTATACTATTAATGTATTCTGTAAAATCTTTCAAATAGTAATGCTTGGAGGATTTAATAGATTTCCCAGTATTATTTGTTTTCTAACTGGGAAAAATCCATCTAAAAGGAAATTTCTTGTAGCATGTGCTGATTATCATTCTTTGACTGCTTTGGGGTTTCTGCTGCTTTTAAACTAGCATTTAAATGGACCATTTGATTAATCATTTGTATACTGACTGTAATCCTCCCAAATTTCCTTTCTGAGTTGTACATACTGTAAAAGACAATTATGTCACCACAGATTAAATAAGTGAATTAAAACAGAATAGCAGCTTAATTTGACCTGTGATTTTGCTCTCCTTCCCTTTAGTGGCGCGTGTGCCACTCCAGCAAATAAATGAAGTCATCCATGACAGCTTGTGATGAATTGCCGTATTTATACTGTATATTTTAATAGCCTCACACTAATTTAAATTGAGCACAGAGTAAATTATAATTCAGTCACTTGACTGCTTGTATTTAACTTGACAACTCATCCTTATTTGTCCTGGAGGTGTAGTGGAGAGCAGGGGAAATGCACTCAGGTATTTCAGTTTCTCACTTAACCCTTTCTCTGGGAAATGCTTGATATTCAGACTGGAGCCAGTTTAAAGCATTTAGTGCCTCCTGAGGAGAAAATAAACAATGAAGACTCGGGCAGTCCATGCTTTCCTTGTACTTGGAAAAGAAAATGAGCATTTGCTATGCTTTTTCTCCATTGCCTTCGAAGAAAGAATTGGTCTTGTTTATTTTTAGCAGCTTTAAAGCTCACTCACAAGAATGCCCAGGGGAAGGGGAATTAACCTTCCACCCAGAGTGCCAAGTCTCCCAGAAAATAGAGAGCATTTGAGTAGAGTTATTTTGAGGTAGATTTTACTTTCCCTCTCAAGTTCCCAGAAATTACTTTATTCACTTGTCCATCATTATGGAATCTCCACCTTTCTGGACTATAGCAGATACCAAGAATGATCAGGACCAACTAGAGTACAATGTATTAGTTCCACAAACACGGTTATTTCTTGTTCCATTTTAGATCCATGTGGCACTTTTATTTGTTATGGTGTTTATGCCTTTTGTTTTAAATGTAGTTGTAGAAATTAAGCAAGCCATTTCCTTTGTGTCTAGCAAGAGCTTATGGTTGTAAGGAGCACTTTAATTAAATTCCACATCACTTAATGGGAACTACTGTAAGTAAAACCTTGTGCTGGGTGCTGGGGAAATAGAAGTACAGTATATGCAAGACTCAGCCCTTGCCCTTAAGGGGCTTACTCTGTTCCCTCCAGCCTGTAGTTTTCAGGCAATAAGGGATAAATTCTAAAGGCAGAATGTGATAAAGAGAAATAGAAATGGTCAGAATCAAGCTGAATTCTGAAAGAGGGTTTTGAGATGGGCTTCATTGAGGTGGTGAGGCCTTCAGGCTGAGTCTAACTGGTCAAACAGGTTTTATACCCAGGGGCTGTGGACTGGAAGTGCAGAAAGCCCACAGTACTTGTGTCAACCAGAAGAGCTCATCTGGGCTCACATGAGCAGCGGGTTTGAGGTGGGAGAAAGAGTCAGAATAAGGAGTAGATCTGGAGTATGGGAGAATGCCTTAGAGGTCATGCTAGAGTTTTAGCTTTATTTTAGGCCATGGCCACCCAATTAAGGGAATGCTATGGTCTCAGTAGTTTTGGGTTAATTCAAAGATGTTAGCTAACCATGTGGAATCTCATCATTTCTAGGTTGGTTGCCCAGAGATACAGTAGATCTTAGTAGTCTTATTTCTTAGCATGGCATAAATGGCATTTTTGAAGCCTTAAATAAGTGGTTCTTAACCTTATTATGGGTTACAAAGTCCTTGGGGAGACTTTATAAATACTAAGATTGGGCCCTACTCATTGTTCTGGGATGAGGCTTTTTGCACTGGGGATTTTTTAAAGTGCTGTAGGTAACTAATTGTAAGGTCAGAGTTGAGAAGCACTGCTTTCAGGTCAATAATAACTTCATTTCTTCGAGCAGAGTTTTTTAGGGTAGAAGATTCACTGTATTTGACATAGTGGTATTTTATGGCATAGAATTGCAAGAACATTAGATGAATTTATTTTGTTGCTAAGTTTTATACAGGAACAAAATGTAAGTGAATATAGTTGGCAAATGACTATTGATCGAAAGAGGTGTTTAAATGTTTCTTGGCAGTTTTGTGTTACACTTACAATCTAGTTTAGTGAGAGCTTTTATAAATAACCCTAAAGCAAACTCTTGATAGAAACTGGTGCTGCCTCTTTTTTTTTTTTTAACCTTCCCTTCCCTCAAATGGATGTCAGTACTAAAAATGTGTTTTCAAATTGTCCTTTTCTTTCCTTGCTCTATTGCAGTGTACAACTCCTGATTTCTGTTTTATCTCCAGTATGATTATAAGTATTCTTCATTTGTAATGCAAAATGTAAATCAGGTTGTGTAGTGTATAATTATGCTGCGCGGATAATCTTGAAGGTTAAGTTTTGCCTAGAAATGTCTAGAGTCAGAAACACTGACACAGCTCTTAAAAATTGTCTTCCACCTATTTTATTTCCTCAGTGTCATTTTAAAGTAAAAAACAATTTCCTTTGAGTTGGTTCCACTGAAGTGCTTAGTAAATTTTGAACAGTTGATCTGGATTTTTTTTAAAAAATAGGTGCTTGAAATAAACTACAATCTATCCTATGTGAGCTTGTAAATTTTTTACATTTCTATGTTACAAGCCCAGCTCAGTAGCTGATGTTCTAAGGGAAACCATTAAGCGTCTGAAAGTGCTGGAAAGAGCAGGAGACAAACGCCAGAGAGAGACCCAGCCCTGTCGTGCAGTGGCTCCCTGAAAAGAAACCTTGGTGTCTTCCTCCCCAAAATGAAGAAGTTAGGTGAAATGAGGTCCCTTCAAGCTACAAAAGGCTGTAACAATATTAGCAAAGAAACATTACCCACTTGGGAGAAAGTAGAAAAGATGACATATTTTAAAAACTCTTATCCATCTCATAACTAAAAACCCCTTAATGTTCTTACCATCCTGGCTGTTCCTTACCTAGTGTCTAAATCATATGATAGTTCTTTTTTAATGGTTTGAGGGTCATTTGTATCTTCCCCTTCTGAAAATAACCAATATGACTAAAATAGTGCACATAAATTAAGAGTGTTATAACTTAACTGACTTTTAAAGCCATTAATGCTGACCTCTGCGCCCTGGCTTTTTCCTTGGTCCCATCAATCACATCTGTACCGCCTCCCCCATACAAAGGCCCAGGCAGAGGTGGATGCTGTTTGTGTTCCTGGGGATACAGTGGGGGGAGGGGGGAGGGGACGAATAAAGGAAGCGCCGTTTTTTTGGTTCTTACATTTCATAATGATTATAACTACATTTCACTTGAGGGTGGGTAAATGTTTTAATGTTAATACCTTTCTATATTTAGGTTATACTACTAGATATTACACTGGAACTTCAGAAGCAAATTATGTCTGAATTGGAAATTCTTTACAAGGTAATTTTTTTCCTGCTTATTTTTTACTTGTAAAACATGCCTATGATGTTGGCTTGCAGGTTTTTAACTACTTCTTTTCTCTATTTTGTTACAGTGTGATTCATCATATATCATAGGATTTTATGGGGCCTTTTTTGTAGAAAATAGAATTTCCATATGTACAGAATTCATGGATGGTGAGTGTTCCTTTTGACAGTGTTTTAAAAATGATTTTAGAAGGGTGTGCTTTTAAACCTGTTTTGTTGTCAGATGGAATTAAAATAATTAAAATATACTAATAATTGCCTCCTTTATACTCTAAAATCCTCTTAGTGTTAGGAGTTCCTAGTGTGAAATATTTATAGCTAAGCTGTAATTTCAAGGATGTAACTTCATTTACTTTTATTGAAAATTTAAGTAGAACAGATTAAATGCTAGTCTAGTCAGTAGTTTGATATTTGATTCTTCTATGCAATCTGCCTTTACTTGCAAAACAGATGTTCTGTTCTTTTAATGTTTCAATAGCCAAAACAGATTTTCTTTTAAAGAAATCTATTAGCCCAATGTCCTGTGTCTTTTGGAAGGAAATCAGTTTTTAATTGCTAAATAAGAAATAGTTTTTCAACATAGCTGTTTATCCAAGATATGTTTTATTTTCTTTGGACTTTAGTCTTTTTCATTCATTTCTATTTTGATACTTCTTTCTTGAACTGAATAAGATTTCTCGGTATCTTGTCAGTGAAATGATGTCATCAGTATTATTCTTTACACACTCTAAATCTAACAGTCTTTAAATTTTACATGTTCAGTCAGTTTTCCAATGTCTGTCCCATTGAAATTTAACATTCATACACACACACACACACACACACACACCCCTTCCTGGGTTTTCTCAGTATCTTACTAACGCAATCAGGTACCAGTCATGCCCCATCACACTTTTAATGAATCAGCATTGCTACCTTGATACTGTAATAAGTGTATAATGTATTCTAAATTAGTTTTAGTAGATGTCAGGAATCTAAAATCTCAATATAGGTAGTATGGCTATTGTGGAGACTGCCTAGATAAAGTAGATTCATAGAGACAAAGCAGGTTAACTCTTTTAAACTTTCATCATTCTTACTTTGAAGTCTTCAATTTTTCAATTATATTAAAATGTTTTTATTAAGATACAATTCAAATACCATAAAATTCACCTTTTAACATACGCAATTTAACAGTTGTACAACCATCATCATTATCTAATTTTGAAACATTTTTACTATTTCCTGAAAGAAAACTCCTACCCATTGTAAGTTCTTCATTAGACCTCTTTCCCTGAGTCCCCGGAAACGACTAATGTCCTTTCTGCCTCTGTAGATTTACCTATTCTGGACATGTCACATGAATGGAATCCTACATGTGACCTCTGTGTCTGACTTCTTTCATTTAGTGTAATGTTTTCAAGGGTCATACATGTAATACTTTATTCTCCGTTATCACTGAATAATATCCATTGCATAGCTGTATAATGTTTTGCTTATTCTTTCAGTAATTGATGGTCATTTATCATATTTTCACTTTATGCCCAATTATGAATAATACTACTACATACATTTGTATACAAGTTGTGTGTATCAGTTCTCTTGTTGTATCAGTTCTTTTGGGTTGTATCAGTTCTCTTGGGTTTACAGATATGAGTAAAATTGCTAGGTCATATAACTCTCTGTTTAACTTTTGGAGGAACTACCAAACTGTTTTGTGCGAATCCATACTGTTTTATATTCATGCCGGCAATATATGAGGATTCTGTTTTCTGCCTTTTTTGTTAACACTTGTTGTTATGTGCCTTTTCTTATTGTAAAAAAAAATGGTATCTCATTTTGGTTTTGATTTAGATTTCCCTAAGAACCAAAAATGTTGACTATCTTTTGATGTTCCTACTGACCATTTGTATATCTTCCTTTGAGAAGTGTTTGCTTAAATTTTCTTTTTTCTTTTTTTCTTTTTTTCCGCCAGTATGGGGAATTGAACCCAGGGCCTTCATGCTGAGCTATATCTGCAGCCCTTTTTAAAATTTATTTTGATACAGGGTCTTGCTAAGTTGTTCAGGCTGGGCTTGAACTTACAGTCCTCCTGCTTTAGCTCCTAGAGTGCTGCTATTACAGGCTTGTTCCACCATGCTCAGCTTCCTTTGTCTATATTTTTAATGGATTATTGATGTTGGCTTCTTTATTGATTATTGGTTGGTTATTTATTGTTGGCTTATAAAAGCACTTTATATATTCTAGATACTGGGCTCTTATTAGGTATAGGATTTGCAGGGGGTTTTTCCCATTCTGTGAATTTTTTGACTTTCTTATTAATGTGCTTTGAAGTACAATTTTTTATTTTTTTTTAAATTTTTTTGGTACTGGGGATCGAACTCGGGACCTTACACTTGCAAGGCAGGCGTGGTGCCACTGAGCTAAATCTCCGGCCCTACAAATGTCAATCTATCTGCATTTTTGGTTGCTTATGCTTTAGATGTCATATATAAGAAACTATTATTTAATTCAGCATCACAAAAATTTATACCTCTTTTCTTCTAGCAGCTTTATAATTTTAGCTTTTTAAGTCATTGATCCATTTTGAGTTAATTTTTTTAGATGGTATAAGGTAGGGGTCCTAATTCATTCGTTTGTACATGGATAAACATTTATCCCCACACCATTTGTTTAAAAGATTATTTTCTCTACTGAAGTTTTGTGGCATCCTTGTTGAAAATTAATTGATCATAAAAATGTATTAATTGATCATAAAATATATTCTGTTCCATTGATCTTTTTGTCTGTCTTTATGTCAGAACCACACTGTACTTGATTACTTGTACTTGATTATTCTAAATTATTATTTTATAGTACATTTTGAAATTGAGAAGTATGAGCTTTATAGCTCTTCTTTTTCAAGAATGTTTTGGCCGGCCAGGGATACAGCTCAGCGGTACAGTACCTTCCTGGCAAGCACAAGGTCCTGAGTTTGATTCCTGGTACCAAAAAGCAAAAAACAAACAAACAAAAAAGATTGTTTTGGCCATTACTAGGTGTTTTGTATTTCCATATGAGTTTAAAATTAGCTTGTCGGGCTGGGGATTTAGCTCAGTGGTTCCGCCGCCTGCCTCGCAAGTGCAAGGGCCCGAGTTCGATCCCCGGTACCAAAAAAATAATTAATTAATTAGAAAATCAGCTTGTCAAGTTCTCTAGAAAAGGCACCTGGGATTTTTATAGGGATTTTATTGAATTCATAGATCAATTTGGAGAGTATTACTGCTTTTAACAATATTAAGTCTTTGAGCTGGGTGTAGTGGTGGTACATGGCTATAATCCCAGCATTCTGGGAATCTGAGACAGGAGGATCACAAGTTCATGCCCAGAATGGTCAACTTAGTGACATAGTGAGACTATCTCAAACAAAAAATTTTAAAGGGGTTGGTGATGTATCTCAGTAGGAAGGCTCTGGGTTCAATCCTCAATCCCACAAAAAATATATGTTTGCACATATTATATGTATGCATACATTATATATTATACATATACATATATATACATATATGTATTCTTCTGTTCAGTCTTCTTTAAGTTTTTTCAGTGATGTTTTATAGTTTTCAGTATACAAGTTCCATACTTATTAAATTTATTCCTAAATTTGTTCATTTGTTGTGGTACTAGAGATTACACTGAACTGCATCCTCAGCCCTTTTTTTAATCTTTTATTTTTGAGTCAGAGTCTCACTAAGTTGCTAAGTTGGCCAAGATGGGCTCAGATTTGTGATCCTCCTATCTCAGCCTCCCAGAGTGCTGGGATTACAGGTGTGAGCCATCACACCCAGCTTATTCCTAAGTATTTTTTTAAATGATACTGGAAATTGAACTCTTTTCTTAGTTTTATTTTGGATGATTCAATGATTCACTGCTAGTATATAGAAATATATTTGACTTTTGCCACCACACGTGGCATATATAATTCTTTTTATATATTCCTGGATTCAGTTTATAGTATTTTCTCTGTGTGTGTGAATGTATGCACACATGTGTGTGTCTGTGTGTGTTGCTTGGGATCCAGCCCAAGGTCTTGTGCATGCTAAGCACTTGGTCTGTAGTTGTTGAGAATACTTGCATTCATACTCGTATTGGTCTGTAGTTTTTGCATGTCATTTTTTTTTTAATCAGGATAATACTGCATGTAAGTTGCCTAATTTGTTGGCATACAGTTGTTCCTACTATTCCCTTATAATATTTTCTGTAAAATTGGTAGTCATGTTCTCATTTTCATTCTAGATTTTAGTAAATTGAAGAAACTTAAATCTTTTTTCTTGGTCAGCATAGCTCAAGAAATGCTGCTTTAGCTGCATTCTAAAACTTTTGCTATATTATGTTTCTGATTTCTCACAAAGGAAATTCCTTCCTAGTGGTTTCCTTTTGACCTGTTTTTATTTAGGACTGTGTCATGTAATTTTAACATATTTGAGAATTTTTCAAATTCTCATCTATTGTTGATTTCTAATATTCCATTGTAGTTGGAAAACATAATTTGCATGACTGCAATCATTTAAAATTTATTGAGACTTGTTTTATTCCCTAACACGTGGTCTGTCATGGAGAATACTGTGAGTGTACTTGAGAAGAATGTGTTCTGCTGTGGTTAGAGTGTTCTTTCAATATCTATTGGGTCTGGTTGGTTTAAAATGCCCTTCTGATATCTTATTCTCATTTTTCTTTGTGTAGTTGTTTTATTCATTTTTCAAAGTTGGATATTAGTCTCCAAATATTTTTGAGTTGTCTCTTTCTTCTCTTTATGTTTATGCTTTACATATTTTGGCTGTATTAATTAGGAACATATTGTTTATAATTGTTATAGCTTTGTGATAGACTGACCCTTTTATTATTTCAAAGTATTTCTTTTGCTCTATTGATAATATTTGAGTAAAAACTATCTCATCTGACATTATTATAGTCACTCCCACTCCCTGTTAATTATTGTTTGTGTGGTATATCTTATTTTTGTCACTTACATCCAACTTATTTGGTCCTTTGCATCTGAGTCTATTCTTCCGATGCCTTATTTCATCAGAGTGCTTAAATCATTTTCAGTTGATAGAATTACAGACAAGGTAAAATTTATATCTGCTATTTTACTATATCTTATGTTTTTTGTGTGTTCCTGTATCCCTCTATTA